TTTTATTAGGTTTACATCTCCAAGTTTGTTTTGGCGAATAAGTTACTTTCGCTGCGTCTTTTTACACTCCGTATTTAGTTACAGTTGTTTTCCTCTACCCTTGACGGGGAAAATCCTCTTAAAATTTCAGCTTTCTAGCTTTTCAGTTTCCTAATTTAGCAACTTACAAGAAACTTTTACGGGGCCCAACATGAGGACCAAGCATACCTAGAAACTGAATTTGCAACGTTTAATTTGTGCGTGGGCTGGGAACATTCTCTTAAAATTTCAGTTTCCCAGCTTTCCTGGTTAACTGCCATTAAGTGAGGAAAAAATGAAGAGTGAAATAGATCAGGATAAAGGAGTGGTCATGGTTCATGTTACAAACTGTTAGTGCAAATCGAACAACCAACAGGGCCTCATGCGGAAACACCTCAGGACTGATTTCACCAAAGCATCCTTGGCTTACAAATTGCGAAAATGGTGGTGAGTGTTAAAGGAGGCTGTAGAAGGTTAATGCTGCATAGCAGCAGAAAGAAAAGTAAAACTAACATGTAGCAGATATGCCTCTGTTTTCGTCTTTTTTTTTTCATATTTTTTCGGGGGCGCGTACGCAGGGTCTAGGCGCATATGAGCGAAAATTTTAAAACTTTAGGATGACACAAGGGGTGGAAACAAATTCGCAAAATTCCAGCCTCCCAGCTTTCCCGGTTGATGAGATAAGTGAAGTGTAAAACACACGTTACACAGAACGAATGAGAACAGTGCGATTTGAGAAAAACTTATCAAACCTCGCGCCCATCTTCTTTTCGACGTCAGCATGGCAGCCAAGGTGAAGCATTGCCAGTGCGCCGTATACTTCACACTTCAAATCACATGTTCGCAACCATTCCTGAAAAAAAAAAATTAATGCAAACAAGCCAATTATCCTTGAAAAATCCTAACAAACCTATATCTATTAATGAGGGCCTGTGGACAGTGCAAGAGGGTCATTATCAGTAAGTTAAAAACCCCACAAATATGACAGAAGAAACGCAATGAAAGTACAGCATTTTTATCGAGAAGGACAAAGAGGAGCAGGAAATGACCACCAGCAAACTGACCACTAGGAATACCAGTGACCACTACGTAAAACTGCTTAGAACAGAATAGCACTAACGATGTAAACGTGCGCACGATGAAACAATAGCTGACTGAAGCGGATTTTCTTAGCACCAGAAAAAGTGCCAAAATAATTTCTACAACCAATAGGACAGTGAAAAAATTCCTTAGATTTTTACTGGTGAGCAATGCAAATGACAGCGGTAACTTACCTTGTATCGGGAAACGGATACAATGTCACTCATGCCGGAAGCATCAAGATGTTCGCGGCACTGCTTATATACATCTCTCAAATATACAGCCAGTTTTGCAATCACCGTATCCTTGCGATGATCTATTAGACTTTTCTCTAGCAAACATTCCTGTGCTTGTGCCTGCAAAATACTGTGCTATCACAGTTAAAATAAATAACTCAAAACTCCTCCCGTATCTCAGGCTTTCAAAGAGAAGCAGACATGTTACGAAAGGAACAAAGTGTTAACGGCAAGGAAACGAA